ACGGCCACCCTCCGTGGTGTCACCGTGCGCGGGTTCAGCGCACCTGGGCGCGCGCGCGTGTAAGAAGCGGTCACTTTGGGTCGTCGTTTTTTTTGGGATTCTGAGCGGGTGAAAGGTGATTCAGTTTATTAATAGATGATATAGATGTGTTTTTCCATGGTTCTTCTTCTCAACTTGAGAACATATATAGAACATTTTACACCAAACAGAATGGTCAATTGTCAATTGCGGGGGTCAATTCTCAGCTTGTGCCATTTTGGTTGCTTGGGCCTCGTTTGTGCTTTCTCTGGACCCCAGCAGTGGCTTTCGTTTGTGGTTTAGCCAGGGCCGATGTTCACAAGGTGCTTCAAAGGGTTCAGCAACTGCCCCAGTAAAAGCGCTTCAAGATACAAGGCCCTACTGCCCTACTCTCTCTTTGTTTGGACTGTTACAGTAGGACAACATCCATTGGTTTGTAGGGAGTTGTTGGAAAGAAAGCACGATCAATGATGCGTGCATCGTAAGGATTCCACGTCCTTCATGCCAGTTGCCCACGCTTCTTACACTTGTTCACATCTGCTCATGACATCAAGTTTCACTTCTCTATGTTCTTGAAGACAGACAAGTAGCAATGGGTCAGTTGAGGGTAGCTCAGAATCCAGCGGCAGTCTTGTTGCGGACCAATACTTTGAGTATCTGTGAGCGTGGCTTCTTCAAGCGTGTATCTGAAGCCTGGCCAAGTTCAACCAATTTGCAGTACTCAGTACTCATGATACAATCCACAAGGTGACGCACCTCAACCCCCCAGATGTGGGGATCGCAACAACTGAAACCTCGACAACCAAACAAAAAGAGCGCGCACACGCGCGCGCCTCGCGCCGCGCCCCCGAGCGACCCCAGCCGGTCACCGAGTGTGCGGTGACGTTCGGCGCTGTCACCGGCGCCTCAGCTCGACCGAGCCGCGCGGTGAGGCTGGGGGGAGGTGAGATGGAACGCCCAGATGATCCCATGGACCCTGAAAACCACCACTGGTGGCTGCGGGTCAACGGAAACAACGATCTTTCCCATGGTGGCTGCGTCAAGACATGGGGACCCTGGTTGACCAAAAAGGAATCAGAACAAACGAGGGAGGGAGGTCCGACCAGGGGTGGTCGGACTTGGTGTTTTGATCGGCGCCATGTGAGCTTTAAGAGTACACTCCGACTCACTAACATGGAAGTGGAAAACCCACTGTTTGTAGAGGAAAGTAGTCTTCCAAGAGGCCATGCCATCCACTTCCATGTTAGTGAGTCAGAGTGTAAAGCTTTCTGAAGCTGTGATCAAAGCGGATCACTGTGAGCCACTTCGCCCTGGAGGTCCCAAACCCAAATGTGGGCTGACTGTGGTCACCGAGTAGGGAGGTCACGTTTGGGAGTGCTACAAGCGATGGCAACACATAGCAGTGCAACAGAGTATGGTTGGCCCTGGCAAATACTCCACACACAAAACACTGAAAAACCGTGACCCTCGAAATCTTGCAACCAACCAACCAACCAACCAACCAACCAACCAACCAACCAACCATAACTTAACGCCAACCAACATAATCCAACCAATTCAATGGTCCAACCTACTTATGGGTACTGCCCTTTGAAAACCAACCAGCCCCATGGCAAAGAAAGAAGCAAGTCAATCTAGAGTGGCGCTGGGGCACTTGAGTCATTGTCCAACGTAGATGGCTTTCATTGTTTGTCTTCAAAACATTAAAAACCTACCAACGCAAGTCGTCCAAGATGGTGACGCCTCCTCACCTCAAGAAACACATACATATTGTCCCTTTTGTGGCGTTTGCGTCCATCCAAAACCTCCCTTCCTCTGTTTTGCAGGGCTTCCCCCACCGCTGGCGGCACTGGAGGGCGAGTTTCGGGCTTGGGCGCCTGGGTGCGATCCCTCTCGCGTTTCCCTCGACGCCCAGGTCGCGAGACGTCCAAGGCGAAAGTTCCGACTTCGAATCCACTGGAGGAAAGGGAAAAAAACACACATCAAGTGAGGGGCGGCCATTGGTTTGGGGGGATCTCCCAATCTTCGTGAGGCATGGCTCAGCATTTGCTAGTTTTCTAGCAGTGCCATATGAGGGTCTGGCCTATACGTATCGCCACTTCCGCGACTCTTTCGATCCAACTCAGTGAGAAAAAGGCAGCCCATCCACCAGCTGCGTGTTTGATGAAGTTGCAGATTTGGTCAGTTCACCAACGCCTCCGCCACGATCCCAAGGGATATTTTACTGTATCCCTTTTGTTCCTAGCAGCTTCTTAAGTTAGTAGTAATGGCCTCCACCCTAGTAGCGATGACTCCACCCTAGCGATGGCCTCAAACCTACTCGCTCCCGATCGGCGGAGTGACGCATCAGCTGGGCCTCCCCCGGAAGGGCGGGTGAGGCTTCCGCCTCGTGGGGTCCTGGCGCACGCCGGTGGACGGTGCCGGACGTGTCGGCATGACGTTTCGGTCCGGGTGGAGCCGAAGGTATAGGCCGTACTGCTTCACCTAGTCGTCTCTTCTGCATCTTCGGTGACTCACTGACCCATACTGTAGCCATGTGGATCTTTTGAGCATCCTTTCACCTACGGGACCTATATATGGTGTATTTGTCTGTTTGGAGGCCCCCCCAAACCAATCCGATTAGGGCCAGAAGCAACCATGGAGTCCCAGCGTCGGAGCCCCTGTCCAAGGTTCGGAAGAACCGCTTTACCTCTTTCCAGAAAACATTCAGACTTCATTCCAAAATCCACCAACCGTTTCCCTTGAATAAAGGGTCAATAGTCTTTCCTCCTCATATGAGTGGCGTGTCCCCAAAAAGGATGAAAGGAAGGATGTTAAAGGTTATCCAGTGACCGGGTAGGCAAATGTAGATCACACTCTCCCACCATGGCCAGGACGAAACGGGCACCAACGCACTGCAAAAATACCATCCCTCCAACTCCAACAAACATGGACGTGGACAACGCCTTTTTTTGGGTCTATCCTATTGCCTGTAACAGTGGATGATGATGGTTAGTAAAGGCCTTGTCCAAAAAAAGTGATAATTGTTTGCTGACTGTTACAGGTATAATAGGACAGACGCAAATATATGGTCTTCCCAGGGGCGCCATCCAATTCAATTATTCCAGAAAACGCGGTTCCCACATAAGTTCTGACTGGAGAACTTGGACGTCGGTGGAACCCAGTCGTCTCGCACACCTCACAATCAACAGGTCTCCATTTTGCGGGCGACGCAAGGAATTGTCAGACACGACGCAAGTACGACGTGGTGCGTGCATCGTAGCAAGCAACTTTGTTCTTTGAACAAAGCACAAGAAATGATGCACCCGGCGTGGCAGTGCAGGATTCTGAAGTTGATTTGCACAAATCACTGAAATACCGTCACGTCCACGGTGGATGAAGTGCGCATCATCCACCGACCGGCTTTTGGGTCCTCTAAGGCAGTAGATTGGCCATCTGATGCTATCTGTACCCCCACTGCACCCCATGCCAACAGTGCATCTGATTGCATCCCATCAGAGACTTCGATGGCCTCTGTGGGGGAAAATGCCCGGCCTCATGGAAACGTGTGTTATTTTCTCGGTTCTTGTGCGTCTGAGACAGAATCAAAGCATGGAAGCAAAAGACCGCTCACAAGGCAGGGGATTCCTCTCTTTCAAGGTCTTCATCCTGAAGGTGACCGGTAGAAGTGGATGTATGTATATACTCAGTACTCATTTGACTGGCAGGCTGACCATACAGGCTGACAACCCCCTTTGATGACTGCATATTCCCAAATAGCAACTGCCTGATCCAGCATATCCAATAGCAACTATCACTGCCACATATACATTCAAGTACTATACTGTTCATTGCTTCGATGTCACTTCTCTCACTCCCACTATAATATATAAAACCACTATACCACCGCTCCGAGAAACCCCTAAACCTCCTTCTTGCCGTTCCTCGCGAGGAACTCCTCGCGCGCGAGGAGTTCTTCAAAGCCCTGGTCGACCGCCATGAGACCTGGTCGAAGTGCTCCCTGCCGGAGCGGTTGCCGTTCCGCGAACTGGACAACCTTTCGGTGCCCGTCTCGGACGGACAGGCGACGGGCCTCGAGCTTCAAGGCCCAGTCGGAGAGCGAGTTGGACCTTTTTCTGCGCGCAGTTGGGAGGCTTAATGTTTTTTTTGGGGGGAAGAATCTTGGAAGACAGTCGGGTTTGACATGTTCGATATTGTTTGATCATGCACGTACAATGTGTTTTTGGTTCACATTTTTACCGTGCTCTGCTCCTCTCCGGCATCTTTCCCTGTCGGGTTCTCTGGTTCTCTTCCAGGTAGATGCTTCTTCACGGCTTAAAGAATCGGTGGAACTCGCTGTTCGTAGATACATACATAATACCCGAATCTCTCATACAAGCATATACAAACACAAATCTCGCTGAATCTACGTCTGTGGGGGCAAGAACGTGACGTTTTCGCGCGCATATATATATATATATTATAGTGGCTTTCTGGTCAGCAATCAACTAGAAGAAATGCTAAGCTCCACTGCAACTATTGAATACTGAATACCTCTGCGGAGGTGGCAAAGGTGAGGTCCGGAAGATAGGTCCGGTTCCCATCAACTCCATTATACCATAAATACGCATAAATCATCATAAATCAGGATTCTGTGGACCCTAGTGATTGTGCGTCTTCCAATAGATTATGGCAATGGTGGACCAACTATAAGTGATCTTTCTTTGTTTTACCAATCAACAGCTTCAAGGAGAGATATTCACAGTAAACTCTTGGATCGAGTCGAATGGCGCAAGAACACCCGGGCGCAAGACCTCCCGCGGTCCAACCGGCATTTGCATCGCCGACGCCCAAGACAGCATCCAGTCGATGTGATCGGTGAGACAGTTTCTGCGGGTGCCGGCGCTGTGCCGCCCTCGACCGGTGGCTGTCATTCAGCCGTGCGAAGCTTTAGGATTAAAGCAAGACCATTTAACACTAAGCGACCAGAGGTTTTCAAATGTCTTTCAGCATCCCGGTCGCGGGCGGGTTGAGCCCCTTCACTGTGTTTTGGAGGCATTGGGGCTCTCATTGCCTGCACCACGACTCTGAAACCGGCTCTAACAAGGGGTTGAAGAGAGTATGCAGGGTGTCTTCTGTGTCCATGGGCGCCTGGAGATCAAGCTAATCTCCCGAAACATGAATTGATCATGAATCTGAGTCCATGAGTCTAACCCAGACTCTCCATGCATGGCATATTACCACCCCAAAGTCGTAGCTAGGATAATAGGTATATATGCAGCCCCATGGAGTGTTTGGGTACTTGGACAAATCACAAGCACTCTCTATGCATCGCTTCTCTCACATTTTATATATGTAATCTCAAACCTTCCTGTAAAACCTTTGTCTCGAGAACCACGGAGCTCTGATTGTTACCTCGAGAACCACCTGCAGGGGTGGAGGACTCGCGGTCAGTGGCAGCTAGGAATGTAGAATCTTGCTTTATAACCCCCCCATGAGGAGGATTACATCCAAATGAAGAGGTTTACAATCCAAATGAAGAGGTTTACAATCCAAAACTGTGAACACTCTGCGCTCCTTTTGTGGTGGTCCTATAATTATAGGGAGAATGTGTTTTATGACTGTTACAGGGCATGGGCAACAGCCAAGGTTTATCAAACAAGATTCTGCATCACAGCCGTGGGTGACTCACTATCTGTCACAGGAGAGTGTTGGATCGATTCCTCTTTGGGCCGTCGGCTGGCGCTTTTTTGGAGACCGGAAGTGATGGGCCATACCTATACAGATTGACCAGGATCTGCGGGAAAAAACCACTGACAAAGCCACGCAGGGCAGAGAAGGATTCATGCGTAAGAAGTAGGAGGCATCCACAAATCGGATTCCAAGCAACTATAGACCTGGCGCTCTCAGGCGGTCTCCCCCTCTGGCTGTCCAAACCCCAGGAGCTGGAAAGTGTGTGCACCTTCGTGCACCTTGGTAGGAGACCCACATGTAGGGACAGCACGGCAGGCCAGGTAGCCACACAAGCTGGTCTAGTTCTAGCTGGCAACCCTTTTTCGCAACCAGACATGTGGATCCAACTACCTCCTGAGCAGGTGCCTTTTTGGTGGGTTTGGGAGGTCAGGCTCAGGCTGCTCGGCTACCTTGCAAGGAAGGACTGGCTTGGAGCCCCTGGGGCGGGCAATTTAGTTGGGATTCATATGATTGGATTCATTGGGACAAAGCTTTTTCAAGCCTGAAAACATCCGCACGCGGCCGTCGACGCGCCTGATTCGGCCTCAAAGTCATCTTCGAAGTCTTCTTCGAAGTCTTCCTATGAGGCCCAGGACGCGCTCTCCCAAGCGACGAAAGCGCGGAACGGGGTCCTCTTCGGTGAGAACCTGGTTCTACACCCAGACACGACCAATGGGACTGCCATATATGCCTACATTGACCCCCAAAACCACCCCAATGTAGGCATATATGGCATACATGGAGTGTGTGTGGGATCTTTGGATGTTCTATTTACACGACTATATTATATATGTACCATGCGTATCCATGAGTCACATGTCGGGGTGGTAGTTGGTCCCTAAGTCAAAGTCAGTGGATGTGACAGGGGCACCCCTAACCTGGATAGTACAATGGATAGCACCCAACTTCATTGATTTGCTGGTGCATGTAGTTCCCAAACACTCCATAGGACTGCCATATATGCCGATCAGTTGGGGTGGTTTTGGGGTCAATGTAGGCATATATGGCAGTCCCATGGAGTGTCTGGGGTTTATTGTACCTTATTTATGCACCTCAAGATCGCATATACTCCAGAAACATCCAGTGGCTACCCAGGGTTTTTCTCTCGTAATTGTAGAGCTGCCCAGCGCTCGACAAACACTGGATTTGAAAGCGATACTGCACCACTGGAGAATGGCTCCATACCAAATCCAACCTAATGTCGACTCTTGATTAAGAACCCCTCAATTTAATATGGTAAAACACCGGGTCTACCTGGACCTTCGAAGGGATGTGGCTGGAGATCCCGGATGGTGGGCTGGTGCTTCCAGCCAGGTGACCGAACCCTCCCAGGGGTGTTTTGGCTTTCTCCCACCGCATCGCACAGCACCCACGGCACCGCCATCCGGTGGCAGCTTGGGTGTGTGGCACTGTGGGGGGGGCGTTTGGGTGTGGCACATATGGAGCAATAGCTGTGGTGCCACTTTCTATCAAACAAATAGGCCACGAGTGGTAGTCACATCGTGTTCCGTAGTCGGCGCAAACGTGCATTGTCAGCCCCATACAGTGCCTCGTCATACTCGTCTTCATCTTCCATGGCCTTCAAGTCTTTAGTAGAAAGAAAACCGGTGCCTTTGCGAGAGACCTGCCACGTCGACACCACGTCGTGTACAGCAACAAGGCAGCAATCTACTCATGCTTCCCAGCGGCTGAACCCTTGAAGTCAGAGTACCAAGTTTTGGACATGTCCTGGATTTGTTGATTGTAGTTTATACAATATTTTTCCTGGTCAACCAAAGTGGTTGGAATGGCTGAAGTAGGATGACCTGCTCATTCGAAATACTAGCATACTACTAGTGTCTACTAGTTACAGTTGTTGTTGCGAGTCCATTGGGTCCATACGGCCTGTTCCGGGTGCCTTTGAATGAGCTCCTCACTGCTCCAGGGCTTCTTGAGACCGGTGACCACCCCACCACCAGATGGTCGCAGAGTCATTGGAGCTTATAATAGGGAACATGTTGCGTGTGCCTGCGCACCAACTTTTGCCGCGATGTGAGCACCATGTGAGCACCGTGAATCGAACAAACACAAAGCTTAAGACCCAAGACGTGTGTGTGACCACACTGCCACACTGTTTGGGGACATCTCCTGGACCTTCACCTCATGTTGAGTCCTCTTCACGTCCTAAAGGGTCGTTGACCAGCCAAAGGGTCGTCCTGCTATGTCCTGTAGGTCCAAATTGGATCTTCTCCATTCCACAAAGCTCAAGTTAAAATCGCCTGCATGCAACATTTGAAGATCGCCTGCATGCAACATTAGGAGATGTTTCGATTCTTTCAATGGGTTTTCTTCAAAAAACTGAAGGTCCGGGATGATTCTTCCCGAGCTTTGTTGCATCAGCTCGTTAGTCAAACATCAACCGATCGTGCCTTGGAGCTTCCTTCGGACGGCGTTCGCTCCTGAGAAACGGTAGGCACCTTTGGAGGGCAATTCTACCTATATATTTCGCAAAAGGATCAAAGCACGGTCGTGCCTCAAGTGATGCTCTTTCAAGAGGTTTAAGATGGGTTAAGCCTTATATAAGTTTAGGCCGTGTTTGAGAGATGTTGAAGAGTTGTCCACCGTTTCAGACTTTTTTTGAAGAAGTCTTCAAAACAACCACATGATATCAAAGCGGATTGTCCAACAAGTTCTGAACAATTGAAAGCTGTAGATCCAAACCCATGTGCCTGCGCTGACTCATCAAAAGTCACAGCCGCCCCTCGATGTTCCTCGTCCTCACACGGCTTTTGACACAAGTAAAATGGTAAGGGGAGTGTAGTGTAGCAACAAGGAAGGCTGTTGCAAATCAAGAACCGGGATGTCCATTTTCGCACCAATTAAGCACCAAACAGCGATGTCACCACACCCATCGCCAGGAGGCTTGCCTCGTCCTCGGCCTCATCCTCATTACCCATGGCCTTCAAGTCGTTGGCAGAGAGGAAACCAGTTCCCTTGCGGCCGACCTGCAACAAATCACTGACAAATGGCACCTTTTATGAGCAGTAGCCATCCCGACTCGGTAGATGACGAAACCACTACACTACCGCCTACCGCCATCTCGGAAGGACTCCCGAAAAAAAAAAAAAAAAACAAAAAAACACAAGCTACTCAGTGTAGGCCTTGACAGTTCCTGGACAGGATCGTTACTTGCAAGAATCTGCTGCACTGGATCCTCCCCCAACCTTGGAGCTTCCTTGGGATGAACTTCGTTCCTGTTGGCCGGCGACACGGAGTGCTGTGGTGGTCGAGTCTGAAGCTGGGGTTGCTATGTCAGTCACAAGTCCTCCCAGCAGGGCAACCAATCTATCAAACCAAACAATTGTACCAAGATACCCAGCAAAGACCATAGTTCCAAGATGTTCTAAGTAAGAAAACAAAACATCTCTTGTTGGTACAATTGGAACACTTGTGTAATTAAACAGTATCCATCCAAACAGTAAATAAACTCTTTGTGTAAAACAGAACTCTCCTGGTTGGGGGTTTCAACTCATGAAAGAAAAACTATGAAGACCATAATATGGGCGACCCATCATCCAAAGTAAAGGCTTGAAGAGAACACATACAGTATCTGAAACCACGCACCCGCTTCTGTTTTTATACGGACACCACGCACCGGTGTTTTTTTCTCAGCTCGGCTTGGGGCCCACATGAGTGGCTCCAACCACGTGTTCCACCCACGGAGCATTCCAGGGGCGCGCTCCAAACGCGTTCCCTCGAACGGCGGTGAACACCAGGAGACCGGTCGTGTGCTACATGGACCAGGGCTCCAGTTTCAACCTAATGATCCTCATTTCAGACCCAGAGGCCATGTTCAATCATGTTCAAACCCCGAACCGCCTGCGCTGTCTCATCAAATGTGACGGCTGCCTTTGGATCCACCTGAGGGGGTTGGGATGTCTTCTCGTCTGGACGAGAAGAAGCATCACAAACTGCGAAGACTGGGATGGAAGAACAATCCAAATGAGCAGCAGCTTCCTGTCTTCAGGGCATGCAATTCGGAAGCAGAACGAGGCAAATGATCGGAATCAACTGCACCATTGTGTGCACCTCGTCCTCTTCCTCAGCCGCCATGGCCTGCAAGTCGGCAGCGGACAGGAAGCCAGTGCCTTTCCGAGCAACCTGCAAGAGGCAATGTTACAGTCAGCACTCATGGGTACTCTTGGTCTCTGAGCAGCAACCTACTTGATCCATGTCTGGCCTACCAGCAGAAAGTAAGAAACAACAAAACATATTGCTCGGTATTATGGGACTGTGAGGCAGAATTAGCTTGATACCACTCTTATCGTAATAGCCCGGCAGCTACAAAACTGTCAGGGCCGATTGAATCCAGCTGCTGGAGCTTGCTCACCCCCAGGCCTTAGAGCTTCCTTGAGACGAAGCTCGCTCCTGTTGGCATTCAGTCGGAGATCGTTTCCAAATACACAAGCGTCCAGCGGTCATAGCATGTCATAGCGCCACAGTTGTTGGCCAACTTTGAGCTTGGCTTGTTCTTTTCAAGAATATGGAGGCTCATGGCTGGTGGAACTTGTTGGATGACAATGATTGTTTTGGGCTAGAGCAAGCATACAGAAAAAAAACACACACACACCAGTATAGACAACAAAAACAAAGGAAGCAAACAGTCTGTTGGAAAAGTACGACCCGCTTCTAGATGTTCAATAAGCTCCCATGATTGCGTTTGGAATCGTGTATTGAATGTCCTTGGCGGCATTGAAGCCAGATGCCACATGATGTAGGAAATACATGAATATAAATGGATATATAGTATACATGAGTGACCTTACAACCCGGCCCTAAACCCTACATCGAAGAACCCATGCGCCTGCGCTGACTCATCAAACGTTACGGCTGCCTTTGGATCCTCTGCCTGTGCAACATGCACATGACTTACTTCTTCCTCTCTGACCCAGACTGTAACCAACAAAAAGGTTGACACACCTGTTGGATGGTTGACAATTGTGTGCACCTCGTCCTCTTCCTCAGCCGCCATGGCCTGCAAGTCGGCAGCGGACAGGAAGCCAGTGCCTTTCCGAGCAACCTGCAAGAGACAATGTTACAGTCAGCACTCATGGATACTCACGGTCTCTGAGCAGCAACCAACTTGATCCATGTCTGGCCTACCAGCAGAAAGTAAGAAACAACTAACCATATTGCTTGGCAGCGGCAATATGGGACTGTGAGGCAGAATTAGCTTGATACCATTCTTATCGTATTAGCCCGGCAGCTACAAAACTGTCAGGGCCGATTGAATCCAGCTGCTGGAGCTTGCTCACCCCCAGGCCTTAGAGCTTCCTTGAGACGAAGCTCGCTCCTGTTGGCATTCAGTCGGAGATCGTTTCCAAATACACATGTGTCCAGCGGTCATAGCACGTCATAGCGCCACAGTTGTTGGCCAACTTTGAGCTTGGTTTGTTCATTTCAAGAATAAGGAGGCTCATGGCCGGTGGAACTTTTTGGATGACAATGATTGTTTTGAGCTAAAGCAAACACGGAAACCAACATTAAGCAAGCAGTCTTTCAAAACAGTACGATCCGCGTGTAGATGATCAATGATCTCCCGTGTTTGCTTTTGGAATCATCTATTAATCTGCATTGAATGTCAATTGAAGCCAAATGCCTCTGATGTAGGAAATACATGGACATGCATCAGTGACCTTTCAACCCTAAACCCATCTAAACCCTACGTACATCAAAGAACCCATGCGCCTCCGCTGACTCATCAAACGTTACGGCTGCCTTTGGATCCTCTGCCTGTGCAACATGCACATGACTTACTTCTTCCTCTCTGACCCAGACTGTAACCAACAAAAAGGTTGACAAACCTGTTGGATGGTTGACAATTGTGTGCACCTCGTCCTCTTCCTCAGCCGCCATGGCCTGCAAGTCGGCAGCGGACAGGAAGCCAGTGCCTTTCCGAGCAACCTGCAAGAGACAATGTTAAAGTCAGCACTCATGGATACTCATGGTCTCTGAGCAGCAACCAACTTGATCCATGTCTGGCCTACCAGCAGAAAGTAAGAAACAACTAACCATATTGCTTGGCAGCGGCAATATGGGACTGTGAGGCAGAATTAGCTTGATACCATTCTTATCGTATTAGCCCGGCAGCTACAAAACTGTCAGGGCCGAGTGAATCCAGCTGCTGGAGCTTGCTCACCCCCAGGCCTTAGAGCTTCCTTGAGACGAAGCTCGCTCCTGTTGGCATTCAGTCGGAGATCGTTTCCAAATACACATGTGTCCAGCGGTCATAGCATGTCATAGCGCCACAGTTGTTGGCCAACTTTGAGCTTGGTTTGTTCATTTCAAGAACAAGGAGGCTCATGGCCGGTGGAACTTTTTGGATGACAATGATTGTTTTGAGCTAAAGCAAACACGGAAACCAACATTAAGCAAGCAGTCTTTCCAAACAGTACGATCCGCGTGTAGATGATCAATGATCTCCCGTGTTTGCTTTTGGAATCATCTATTAATCTGCATTGAATGTCATTTGAAGCCAAATGCCTCTGATGTAGGAAATACATGGACATGCATCAGTGACCTTTCAACCCTAAACCCATCTAAACCCTACGTACATCAAAGAACCCATGCGCCTCCGCTGACTCATCAAACGTTACGGCTGCCTTTGGATCCTCTGCCTGTGCAACATGCACTTGACATACTTCCTACTCTCCGGCCAAGACTGTAACCAACAGAAAGGTTGACAAACCTGTTGGATGGTCGACAATTGTGTGCACCTCGTCCTCTTCCTCAGCCGCCATGGCCTGCAAGTCGGCAGCAGACAGGAAGCCAGTGCCTTTGCGAGCAACCTGCAGGAGCCAATGTTACAGTCAGACCTCGTGGATACTCATGGTCTCTGAGCAGCAACCAACTTGATCCATGTCTGGCCTACCAGCAGAAAGTAAGAAACAACAAAACATATTGCTTGGCAATATGGTTATAAAAACTTTCGTATGGTAAGGCCAGAGTCCTTGATTTGAACAAAAAGTCGAAACAAGTCAAACAAAGTCAACTGCAAAAGGACAAGTCAAAAAACAAGTCAAATTGAAAAGTCAAAAAATAGTAAAAAGACAAAAAACAAGTCGATAAAACAATGAAAAAAAAGCAAAAAAAACAAAAACAAATCAAACAACAACTCAAAAAAGTCAAAATCAAGTCAACCACTCGAAAAAGTCTAAAAGTAAAAAAAATAAACAAGTCGAAACATTGCAACAACAAGTCGAAAGAAAAGTCAAAACAAGGTGAAATAAAGTCGAAAAAACGTCGGATCTGGGCAAATTGATTTTTTTTGACTTTCTGAAATTTTCTGATTTGACTTTGTTTGGACTTTGACTTTTGGGTTTGACTTCTTTTTTACTGTTTTTTTGACTTGTTGTTTTACATTTAGAAAACAGGCTCTGTCCAATGAACGTTTTTTATAACAATATGGGACTGTGAGGCAGAATTAGCTTGATACCCAGGGCATGTCAGGGCCGATTGAATCCAGCTGCTGGAGCTTGCTCACCCCCAGGCCTTAGAGCTTCCTTGAGACGAAGCTCGCTCCTGTTGGCATTCAGTCGGAGATCGTTTCCAAATACACAAGTGTCCAGCGGTCATAGCATGTCATAGCGCCACAGTTGTTGGCCAACTTTGAGCTTGGTTTGTTCATTTCAAGAATAAGGAGGCTCATGGCTGGTGGAACTTTTTGGATGACAATTATTTAGACAACAAAAACACAGGAAGGAAACAGTCTGTCGAAAAAGTACGACCCGCTTCTAGATGTTCAATAAGCTCCCATGATTGCCTTTGGAATAATGTATTGAATGTCTTTGGCGGCATTGAAGCCAAGTGCCACATGATGCAGGAAATACATGGATATATATACATGAGTGACCTTTCAACCCTAAACCCCTCTAAACCCTACGTACATCAAAGAACCCATGCGCCTGCGCTGACTCATCAAAAGTTACGGCTGCCTTTGGATCCTCTGCCTGTGCAACATGCACTTGAGATACTTCCTACTCTCCGGCCAAGACTGTAACCAACAGAAAGGTTGACAAACCTGTTGGATGGTTGACAATTGTGTGCACCTCGTCCTCTTCCTCAGCCGCCATGGCCTGCAAGTCGGCAGCGGACAGGAAGCCAGTGCCTTTGCGAGCAACCTGCAGGAGCCAATGTTACAGTCAGACCTCATAGATACTCATGGTCTCTGAGCAGCAACCAACTTGATCCATGTCTGGCCTACCAGCAGAAAGTAAGAAACAACTAAACATATTGCTCGGTATTATGGGACTGTGAGGCAGAACTAGCTTGATACCACTCTTATCGTAATAGCCCGGCAGCTACAAAACTGTCAGGGCCGATTGAATCCAGCTGCTGGAGCTTGCTCACCCCCATGCCTTAGAGCTTCCTTGAGACGAAGCTCGCTCCTGTTGGCATTCAGTCGGAGATCGTTTCCAAATACACATGTGTCCAGCGGTCATAGCATGTCATAGCGTCACAGTTGTTGGCCAACTTTGAGCTTGGTTTGTTCATTTCAAGAACAAGGAGGCTCATGGCCGGTGGAACTTTTTGGATGACAATGATTGTTTTGAGCTAAAGCAAACACGGAAACCAACATTAAGCAAGCAGTCTTTCAAAACAGTACGATCCGCGTGTAATGATCAATGATCTCCCATGTTTGCTTTTGGAATCATCTATTATATAATCTGCATTGAATGTCATTTGAAGCCAAATGCCTCTGCTGTAGGAAATACATGGACATGCATCAGTGACCTTTCAACCCTAAACCCATCTAAACCCTACGTACATCAAAGAACCCATGCGCCTCCGCTGACTCATCAAACGTTACGGCTGCCTTTGAAGCCTCTGCCTGTGCAACATGCACTCGACTTGCCTCTTCCTCTCCGACCAAGACTGTAACCAACACAGAAAGGTTGACAAACCTGTAGGATGGTTGACACTTGTGTGCACCTCGTCCTCTTCCTCAGCCGCCATGGCCTGCAAGTCGGCAGCGGACAGGAAGCCAGTGCCTTTGCGAGCAACCTGCAGGAGCCAATGCTACAGTCAGCACTCATGGTCTTTGAGTAGCAACCAACTTGGTCGATGGCTGGCATACCAGCAGAAAGTAAGAAACATCTAAAAGTCTCGCTTGGTAACAATATAGGAACTGTGAGACAGAATTACATGCTACCACTGCTATGTTAGCTCGGCAGCTACAAAACTGTGAGGGCTGATTGAAACCAGCTGCTGCGCTTGCTCAACGCCAGCCTTGGAGCTTCCTTGGGACGAAGCTCGCTCCTGTTGACATTCGTAAACGAAGATCGTCGTGTCTGAGGTTAACCATTTCTCGATGCAGGAAATGTCACAGTTGACATTTCATGAAATGGATGTGGTGTCCTTGTGTGAGAGTATGCTTGCTGGACATGGAGCTTTAACCCCCTGATCTTGTTGGAACTGACTGACAGTCCAACAAGTCCAACAAGAACTAACTAACAGTACGTCTCTTATTCTTGGAGCATTCCACTGAATCGTTGGGAAATACATGAATGTGCATACCAGGACCATCCAAGGGGTGTCCGAGTGTCCATAGACGACACGCCTATTGTTGACCTATGTTCAGTAAACCTACCCTAAATAAAGTTAGACAACTCCTCGTCCTGGTTAATAAACCCACCCTAAATAAATAAAGTTAGACATTTCACCAAAAAACTAAACAATGTATAATAAGTAAATTATATAACTTTAAAACATAGACCAAAACGATGCAAAAAAAAGACGACACACAACAAAAACATATATGTATATATACAGTATATATAAACAAACATAAATAAACTATAACAAAATAGAATAACATTATTAACACACCCTTGATTCCTGTTGATTCTATATATTGAATTCCTTTTGATTCCCCTTCATCTCAATTCCAGGAATTTCTTCCAGATACTACTTCGCTTAGCTCAATTCCTTCCAAATACTAACTCCTTCTATAGTTCAGTTCTAATATGTTCTATTTAAACTCGAAATTAATTCTAATTCAATGCCAAATTTATTATAATTCAAGCACTAATTTCCTTGCATTTTGATATTCATTTTAATAAAGGGTCATTTCATGTCTCTATTAAACTCTTTCTTTGAATCTGGGATACACTTTATTTAGGTGTGCCCTTTTTTTCCAAGAAACGCAAACCCCTTTGTACTAATCAGAGGTCAATAGAGGTCAACATTACACTACTTAGGGATCTCCCAACACGATACATCATCTAGGTACAAGAACACTTTAACTGGAAATGCAAGGGACACACCGAGCGTCTCCGAAGCTCCACTAATCCTCCCATCCGCCTGCGCTGACTCATCAAACGTCACAGCTGCCTTTGGATCCTCTGCCTCTGCAGTTCCAGACCCGGCACCAAAACTCAACCAACACCGCAGGGAACGAAAAGGCAAGTGAGACACTTGGATTTACTTCAAGAACCGGCCAAAGACACACAGCATGATTCACCCAAGTTAAGGAAAATTCACCCAGTCAAAGGGAAAATAGAACATCTCCGCAAGCAAAACCAAGGAGATGAGATGACCATACACCTCGATGAGATGACCATGCATCACCCTTTGCCTCGTCCTCGTCCGCCATGTTCTTCAAGTCATTCGCAGAGAGGAAACCAGTACCTTTGCGAGCGACCTGGCACGGCTCAGAGCAGTGGCACCGCTGGTTTTCCTGCAAACAAGACATTTAGATAACTGATGATAACATGATGATAACCAAGCGTTCTTTCCCCTGGCAGACTCAGGCAGACTCTAAGATTCTCATTGCCCGAACTCATATACCTGTGTGATCCTATGGTCGGGTTTTATGTACACTCAAACGGGCAACGAGAGTTGCTGACACTTGAATCCACCTGCTGCACTTGCAACACCCGCCTTGGAACTTCCTTGAGACGAACTTCGTTCCTGTTCAGCAAATTGGTGGCAGATTGATTCCCTAGGAATCCAAGTACCTTCTCAGAAGATTATTGGAGACATTCTTACGTCACTTTTGTAGGCTTGGAGGGTCCAAGTACCTTCTGCGAAGGTAATTACTTGGATTTCTAGGGATTCTTGAGTCGAGTCGCACAAAAACCTCCGTGTGGCAGTCGGGGTCGAACTGTGGGGTCGACTGGGGTCAAGCTGGTCGCCGTGGCGTCGCCCACAAGACCAAATCAAAGCATGATCTGCTGGGGGATGTCTCCAACTACGGGGATTCCACTGATTCCACACCCAAATGTCTCCAACTTAGGTCCTAGGTCCTAGGTCAAACCTCACCCTGCAAAAGTGGTGCAGGTCATATGTCCGAAGGGTGCCAAGGTCGTCCCCAATAAATATGGTCATCACCAGGACCAGTCGAGGTGGTTGCGGGGGGTCCTGGCACATAAGTCGCATCTGAGACTCATCAGAGAACAGACATGTTGCGCGCTAAACCAACCATGTTCCTCCCTTGGCGCGAAACCCATTCTGCACGCTGCTCTGAAAACCCCCCCTTCCCCAGATCCGAACTGCGCTCCCGCCTGCGCTGAGGCATCGAAGGTGACTCGACTCTCAGCGTCCACCTGTGCACCGCCGACGCCGCGAAGCCACGCGACGCTGCCGATGTTCGGAGCTCTTTAAGGGTTTGAAGAAAAACACCGCTGCCTGTAGAAGGAAAATGAAGGAAACCATGTATACAGCTCCAAGTAAAATTTACAGTATTTTACATTACTAGTATGAGTCTTGCGGAAAATAATCTACCTAGCCTAGCTCCATCTCTTCAAAATATACTAACCTTCACGGTTTTAACATGATTTAACGACTTCTGAAGTTCCCACAGACTCCATCAGCACCGATCCTAGTTGAAGGAAACACGGAAACAACCTACAACTCCTGCATGGATGTGCGCACTTGGATGACGCGCCGACTCATCCTTCGGTTCAGTCTGAGGGATTGAGCCTTGAGCCATGCTCTTCACTGGACTCGAACATCGCAAATCAGCGTGCGTCTGAAAAACTACACTTCAGCGCACGTCCACATGGAGTCTTTTGAATGGCTGACTGCATGGCCAACTATAGCCTCTTTAAAGAAGTGCTGAGAAAGCAAAAAACGGTGATGTGTTCTTCTCTGTTTCCCACAAATAAAGAACACATCGCAAAGGGCAAACGGTTTTCTCGTCAAAAGAGGCGCATGTAGGAAAAGGACAGGTGCAAGCCGATTACCCCAAACAGATCAAAACAGGGAGGCCATGTCGATTCTCTCAGGTTTTGGCTTTGGTCTTTTTGAGGCCGTCATTGGCACGATCCCAGCCGAATCCAACAGCTCAAGAAACTAGACGTCGACAGTCTAAAGCCGAACACCGACTGTCCAAACAAATATGGCTGTGGGTCATGGCACCAGGATACCTTAGATTGACCTATACCTGGTGTTGGTCGGTCGCTACATGAACCAGGCCGGCCTATCCATATGATGTGGATCTGTAAAGGGAACCAACCAACTCAGTTGCCGCCTCTGCGTGATCTGCTTGCTGCAAACCCGGGCTTTCCGGCTCCTGGCAATCCCAGCTGATTCAGATGGATATGACATGCGTGTATTGGACACTCATGGGACACCCAAACACTAGTTTTAGGATGGATTTGGTGGATTTGTCCTCTTCCCTGCGGAAACAAACATGCTCGGTAAGTGCCCAGGATCCAGAGTCAGGGTATGGTGGTAAATGCAGTAAGTAAATGCCCTGAATTATATAAAACTCTCCAAACTGGGGTGTATATGATGTTCATGCCCCAAAATAATCCATGTCCACCCTGAAAACTTCAACCATCAACCGTCAATGCCCCCCAAACCATCGCGCCCGCCAACGCGTGGCCTCCAGCGCCGCAGCCAAGTCCTCCGTGGCCACGAAGCTTCGCCCCTTCTTCAGGGTCGCCTCCCCAGCTGCCCCCGACGATTTCTGCGGCGCCCCGAAAAGTTTTGCTGGCCGCAAACGACGGTACGACTGGACGACCGTCCCCGTAAGCGCCGGCAAACTCCGATTTGTTCGCAAGAAACACCGTGCATAGTTTCCAAACCGAGTCGCTGAGTCGCCAAGAACGTTGATGGCTTTCGATGCGAATGTCACGAGGTCACGCAAATGCCACGAAATCGTCGCCATGGCCACAGTGATGCCACCAAACCGAATCTATCAATCCAACAGAGTTCTCCCGACACAAATCCCACGCAACTGAGCAGGACCGAGCACGGGTGCTCGGTTCTGATCGTAAATATCCCCAGACCATCATCCATAATCCAAATATACCTACATGCAATGCATGCATATGTCCTATAGGGGGGTAGAGGGTGGATGTATGTAACCATTCCAATCCCATGAATGGTCTGAGTATTGTAATTAAATCAGCTCTACACATCTTGTGACATACTGATACACAGGTTCTTCTTACACTATATGGCGAGCCAGCCTCATCCGTGTTACTTTGTAGCAGTAGTAGTAGTAGTAGTAGTAGTAGTAGTAGTAGTAGTAGTAGTAGTAGTAGTAGTAG